TCATCACAAAAAATAGTAGTATTTTACCAAAATTATACTCAATTATTTTTCCATTACGACCATAATTCTAACTTTTTATTTGATAAAAGAAGCACACTTGAAAAGTGAGACAATGAATCCTAAATAATAAAAGGAATAGAAATATAGGAATGTAGGGTTGGGAAGGGTAAAGGTGAGATAACGAATCCTAAATAGTAAAAGGGGTATAAAGATAAGAATATATGGTTGAAAAGGGTAAAGTCAAGGGATCTGTAACTGTGAGTTGGGATGAAACTATCAAAATGAGTGATTTATGTGAATTAAATGGATATAGTTTTACATGAATTTGGTTATTTTACCCATTTACATCCGCTGCAAGTTTTATTTATTTTTTCTCCCATATTCTTTGAGCAACAAAATAAAATATCATTGTAATCAATAAAAATAAAACACATTATATTAATAAATATATTTTTAACTAAAAAAGGTTACACAGAAGAATCAATGGTGGTGAGTTTCAAATTTCACACTTTACAAGAATTTCAAAATAATTTGGGTGTGAAAGCAAGAAATCAATTAGCACTTAATTAGTTAATTAAAACTTTGATGGAAAGTATGGAGGAAGTATGATGAAATTTAACAAAAATTTTTTTAAAAAAAACTTTAAAGAATAGGAAAAGAACGTTAAATATGGCTTTGCAAAAAGTATAATATAATTATTGTATTGGTAGTAATTTAAATTTACTTACTAATGAATTTGAATCTATGTCTAATTTAATTAGTTCTAAATAGGTAGTCCCAATCTATCCATTTAATAGCTACTAGTTAATCGGTTTAATTGGATTGTCCACTTGAAACTAATAAAATTGCACACCCATACTCATTTGTTGAAGAACAAGTTGAAAATTTGGTCATTATTTATAACTATAAATGGATGAAAAGAGTAGTAGAATAGTAGGTAAATAAGTTGCAAAATAAGATAAGAAATCGCATAATTGCATGGAAGCAAGGTAAGGTGAAGAGAAGGTAGAGTTTGTCGAAGGGAGAAGAGTTAAACGGATATGGGAAGCTTGGGTTATGAAAGTGAAGATGCGGATAATGAAGAATAGGAAAATGTTGAGAGAAAATGACGCAAAAAGAGAGAGCGTGGAAAATAGGGGTAATAATATTGTATTGGGTGTGCTTTTAGTATTTCTTTAGGTATTTTTGTAATCTTTATTTATATTTTTTAATATACTTTAAGGTCTTAAATAAGGTACATAAATACAATATAAATTAGATACTAAAATATATTTCTTTTGATTTTTTAAACCTTTTTTCATTTAACTAATATAAATAATTTATTTACTATTATTATTATATTAGACGTAAATCCGTGCATAGCACGGGTTACAATGCTAGTTTAATCTAAACATGAACATACATCGAAACATAAAAGAGAGTACGCCTTCTCCGGTTAATTTAACTAATTTAGTATTCTTGAAATGCACGCGTAATTGGTCTTATCAATCATACCAACAAACTAGTAAGTACATCATTTTTATACACAGTATTATCATTCATATATGTAAGCACAAACATTTGTTTTTTTCTTAATTATATCGTCAAGAAAAAATATGATTCAAGTGTTAATTTTTAAAAAAATAAAATCAATCGAGTAAGTGTATAAATACAATGAGAGGTGAATAATTATACATGTGTGAACATAAATTGTAAATAGATTTCAATCAAGCACACTAACAAGTGTCATCACCAAATTGGAAAACCCATATAAATATGCTGTTGATGATCGAGAAAGGGATAAAGAACTTGAGTGCTAATATTGTTGTTCATCAAGCTAGAGAAAATCAAGGTCTCGTTCGGATTGCTATTTTTAAGAGCTTTTATTTAAAAAAAATTTATTGTAGTAATTTGATATATATAAAATAAAAAAGTAATTAAAAAATCTGTTTACAGAAAATATAAATATATATATATATTTTTGGAAAAATTGGCTTTCCAATTAAACTGAAACCACCAGCAGGGAACACGGAAACATATATGAACAGACACATCAGGTAGATGGCTAGATCTACTTTATCCCCTTACCATGAAATAGACAGACTTTTGTACCCGCGAGCAAGTCACATGGCAATTCAAGAAAGCGCATTAAACTCGAGTCCCATGACAAAATTGCTAGCGAAAAATAATTACAGTATCCGCAACCACCACACAGTGGCCTGCCCGCAGCTTGGACCTTCCTTTTCTTTTCTGCTAATAATCGGATGACAAAATAATTCAAGTATCACAAATGATGATGTCCCAACAAAGAAAGAGAAGGAAGATAGGTACAGACGACTTGCGTCGACTAACCACCCCGTCTATCTTCTTAACTGCCAAAATGCATGAACCCTTCCACGCCCGTACACAAACTGCCTCTCTCTATATATATATAATCCCCTCTCAGGCCCCAAAATGTTCCATCCTGCGCTTCTAGTAAAAAATTCTCATCACTCACTCGCTAGTCGCTGCTCACTACCACTTGGGATTCCATTCCCGGGAAGAACATAATCACTGGAAAAAAGGGAGAGATAAGATGCCAACAACTGCAGTTCATGTAGTTTCCAAATGCACAGTCTACCCGGAATCCAAATCAGCCCTATTCCCGTCTTTAAAGCTCTCCGTCTCTGACCTTCCCATGCTCTCTTGCCAATATATCCAAAAGGGCGTTTTACTATCCCAGCCTCCCCTTGACGCCGCCTCTCTTCTCTCTCTGCTCAAGCTCTCCCTCTCCAAAGCTCTCTCCCACTTCCCTCCCCTCGCCGGCCGCCTTCATACCGACCCTCACGGTCACGTCCACATCCTATGCAACGATGCCGGCGTCGACTTCGTCCATGCAAAAGCCTTGCACCTCTCCCTCCCCACCCTCGTCCCTTCTGATCAACTTCATCTTCATGACATCCCGCCTTGTTTCCGAAAGTTCTTCCAGTTCGACCACACTCTCAGCTACGCCGGTCACCACAAACCTCTCCTGGCTGTGCAGGTCACCGAGCTCAACGGCGGCCTTTTCATTGGTTGCACCATGAACCACGCCGTCGTGGACGGGACCTCCTTCTGGAACTTCTTCAACGCCTTCGCTGAGGCCTGTAAGGGGGCCAAAAGGATCTCCAAGTCCCCCAACTTCTGCCGCGAAACCGTGTTCACCTCCCCGGCGGTTCTCCAGCTCCCGGCAGGCGGGCCTTCGGCGACATTTTCCGGTGACGAGCCTTTGCGGGAAAAGATATTCCATTTCAGCAGAGAGGCAGTCTTGCAGCTGAAATTGAGAACCAACAAGACTTGCAAAATGGGGAGTTGGGTGGCGGGTGACGGAGAAAAAGGCGTCAGAACTAACGGAAAGGTAACGCGCAAGTCTTTGAAGCCCGCGACCGATGAGATCTCGTCTTTTCAGTCCCTGTGCGCGCAGCTGTGGAGATCCGTGACACGTGCGAGGAATTTGGATGGGAACAGAAGGACGACATTCAGGATGGCGGTGAACTGCAGACACCGGCTGGAGCCGCGGGTGGACCCTCTCTACTTTGGTAACTTGATCCAGAGCATCCCAACTGTGGCTTGCGTGGAGGAGCTGCTGGGCAACGACCTATCCTGGGGTGCGGATCGGCTGCATCGGAATGTGTTGGCGCATGACGATTCCACGGTGCGGCGGGGCGTCGAGGAATGGGAGAGTAATCCAAGGCTGTTTCCGCTGGGGAACTTTGACGGCGCGATGATCACCATGGGAAGCTCCCCAAGGTTTCCAATGTACGATAATGATTTTGGGTGGGGACGACCCATTGCAGTGCGAAGCGGTAGGGCCAATAAATTTGACGGCAAGATCTCGGCATTCCCAGGGCGTGAAGGAAATGGGAGCGTCGATCTGGAAGTTGTTTTAGCACCAGAGACTATGGCTGGACTTGAGAAGGATGTGGAATTTATGCAATATGTATCCTGAATCCTGACCGACTCAATGCTAGCGTACTGTACTCCTCCAGAGGCGCGTCTCCTTCTACTCCGTCCACCTGCATCATGATTATTGGACAAAATTTTAACGGACGCAGGATTGCAGCCAAATTTCCTTCTCCAAAAAAGAAAACAAAAAAACAAACCTCAGTCGAGAAGGAGAGAAGAAATAAAAGATTTTTTTTTTTTTTTTAGTGTTTGAAAAAAAAAAATACCGAAGTAAGGATCTTGAAAAAGACGTACTACAATATAGATATAACATCTGCAAATGGGTGTGATAAATCATAAACATCTGCAAATGGGTCCAAACAAGTTAAGGATCGCCAAGAAAGAAATCTGCAATTGAGCTAGCCATGTAAATACAATATTTATATTAGCCTATATTTTGCTGATGATTAAGTTGGATTATATTGCTACGACTGTGCTTTTATCTCATCCTCGTCCTGTTCAGTCTTGGTACATTTTTGTTCTGGAGTTGCCTTGACTTCTAATTTTCGGGTGTGTTCTTCTTCATCATGCTGCTTCCTATTTTATTATACCTCTCTCTCTCTGTTCTCAAGTGTTCTTCATCTTTGCCATATTCTCGGTTTTCTGGAGGGCTGGCGGAGAATTTCAAGTCAACATTTCATTGTTTTGGAATCAACTCTAAAACATCGGTAATCTTGTTTAGGGTTTGTTCTTTATGAATACCAAATTTAGCGCAGTTTAGATGTTATGACTAAATCTTTCTTAAACACACTAACATTGGAGGACACCTGGAATGGTGCCCACCATCCTATAGTATCAACTAGGTAGCACAACTAGTGAAGAAGATAAACGGAGGACACTTAGAAATTAATTGGTCTGGTAATGGTTGGACCCGATTCAGAAGACGAGGCTGCTGAAGAGATTATAAGCCTGAATGAGTTGGCACTGAAAGTTTCAGACGGATCTACCCTAAAAAATAGGGAGTCAAAGTTTCAGATCAATCCTGGCTTCTTTAATCCAATAGGAGGCCTCCAACGCTCATTTTTCTTGTAATAGAGTCACAGGGCAATATTATATACTTTGTTTCACCTTCTTTTCATCACAAACTAAATTGAGGGAGCGGTCATGGAAATGCTGCTCCCACGTTAAACACTTATTATCTTCCAAGGAAATTAAAATTGCTAGCACACATTAAAAATTCTGCCTTCCTACGTTCATCACACTGAGCTTACATCTACTTAAAATCATCATATATTTAATCAATGACAGCAGAATTGACCAAATTTTCCAGCCAATATTGTACAACTCAATACACAGCCGCAATCAGTCACGCATTTATCCCCAATGTCTTTTCGATTACACCAAATAATACCAACTTTTTCAAGAATATCTTGTGTCTGAACTTCACGAATCATGCGGATCACCTGTAGTCAACCTCTGGTGCTTGAAAAATACGCTTAAATAACCATTGAAATGGCCTTAGTAACTGTGCTCTCTTCTTCCTCCAAAACCAAATTGCAGCATTGTACTGCTCATTGCGTATCTTTCGAGTTGCAGCCCTCCAATCAAACTTCTCCATCTCTAGTCTTGCAGCATTTCCAATAGTTTCTCTCAATTCGAGATCATGTAACAGGGGCTTCAGCTTGCTCAAACAATCATCGACATCTCCAGGATTAAATAGATACCCAATTTTACCTTGCTGATCCTCAGGAATTATGTCTGGAATTCCTCCCGCACGAGCAGCCACCACAGGAAGTCCTGATGACATTGCCTCCAAAACAACGAGCCCAAGTGTCTCTGATTCTGAAGGCATAATAAAAACATCTCCGCTAGCATATGCCTGAGAAAGCTCCTCACCATGTAACATTCCCATGAATACAGCAGGCATGCCTCTGAACATGTTCTCTAGCTCCTCTCTGGTACAAAATAAACGAAAAGAAAGCATTTTAACCATTCCTAACTTCCATACTTCAGGTGTTCATATAAAGTTCAGTATAAAGTTTTAGGTGTTCGGTATAAAGTGTTCATATATATGTATGGCGAGCATAAGAGCAAGAACTGTTAAGACAGCCATTTATTAACTCTTTATTTTTATTTAGTGGGCAGGTTAAAGAAATAAGCATGTCTCGATATTTACAAGCAACATTTCAAACAGAAATTTCAGAATTTACAAGTGTGACATATCAAACGTGAACTTTTTAACAAACATTACTGCAATGGCTCCCAATCGGGGAGTCCTTCCATCTCCTGAACCACCAAGACCTACAAATTTCCACAAGGTAAAGTGGGACATAGGACAAAGATATAGCAATTATCTGCCTATAATCAGATATGGGATCCCATATGTTCTGGCAGACAAGCAGCAGACATCACTTATTGACTCTTAAGTCTCTGCTAGTATGTGCTCTGAAATGTGACAACAACATTTTGTTCACAGAAGATGCACCTATAACATTTTTGGGAGATCAAGCAGAGATCATAGTAACTCACCTGTATGGCCCGTCTCCAATAAAAGCTATTCGTGCTTCTGGAAGCTTGTCCATGATCCTGTTTCCAACGTGTTTATTTCAAATGCCAAAATTTGAGCACATAATCTAGGTTTTGAAAAAGCTAATAATTATAAAAAGAGTGAATAGGTACTCAGTAATCTCGAACTTTTTGATCTTGGTGCATGATACAGATGCACAAAGCACGAAACCAGGATATAGTAGGTGAACTTGGAAGATGCAAGGAAAAGTTAACAATCAGAAAAAACAAAAGAAAATGATGAGCCCCATTTTTGTTATGCAACCAAGCAATTTTTCAGGGCCTTGTTTAGTTTAGTCTTCCCCTTTACAATTTTGGGATGTCACTAAAGATATACATATTGAGTTACTTTCCCTGCCCAAGGTATCAAAGGGTACCAAGACAGATCACTTCCTTTGTTTGGGGAGGGGTGGGGGGAAAGAAAAAGAGGGAAAGTCATCATCTTTCCCAGAAGACGCAATCACCTGAAGCTTCATGGAGTACAAGTGGAGTACCTTTTTAGGAAATCCAAGCTCTTCTCATATCCAAGTCGGCCAACATGAATTATCAATGGTTTCTGAGGTTCTCCACCACTGATTCATGAAAATACAGTAATTAATACTAAGTTGAAAATCACCACTAGTCATTAACATCAAACTAAGTTTACCTTAGTTTTAATCGCATCTCATCAGAATGGTACCGCGGATGAAAGCTCTCCGAATCCACACCCTTAGTCCACAGACGAATTCTATTTGCTGAAAATTAGAAAATACGTGAATTTCCATTTGAAATATAGTAAATAAAGAAGAGGATGAGCCTTTATACTCGTATGAGCAACTGGGCACTCCAGTTAAGTAGAGTGGTAGTAGTATCAATATTCATAACAAAATACAAAGTAAATAATGTTTCAGGAGAAAATGGAATAGGGTGAACATATCTGCATAAAGAACCATCAGCCAATCTGAACATGTGAAACTTTACCTGCTGTCACCTGAGCAGCTTCAAGATCCTTTCCAATTGCAGCAGATGGTACCAAAGTAAGATCAGCAGCTCTATGAAGAAATTCTGAATCAAGGAACAGAATTGTAGAGGAGATGTTCAGATTTTACAATTATTAAAAGTATATAATTCATTAAATATAGCAAGAAAGAGAGGCGACGTACTTATTATTAACCACATAGGTTTTACCAGCCAACTAAAGGTGTATCTTGGTATGTACCTGCAAACAACATTTTATTCAGCCCAACGCACCAAACTTGGAAGCGCAGTATATTGACAAAAACGAACCTGCAATTTGTTGTAGATTCTCCCCGCGCCCCAGCCCCCTTCTCCCAACAAAAAGAAAAAGAAAAAGAAAGTTTTGCTCTCTACCCGTGTACGTGTGCATGTATGCCTGTAATGCTATAACTTATCAATGTTTTTCCCATCTCAGCCCAACACCTACTCTGGGAATCAAATTTATAAAAATGACCCAGATGCAACTTACACCGGAACATGAGTGTGGTAAGACATCACTATGGGCACGCATAGTAGTTTTGCTATGGCAAGAGCACCAAATACCTATCATAAGAAAAGAAATGTCAGGTATCTGAACAAGCTAGATGGTAGATATCGGACAAAAGTCAAGCAGCAATATCCAGCGTAGCAAATTAAGAAAAAGAAAATTACCATGACACCAGGAGATGATGCATGTATAATGTCTGGCTTAAACCTGGCAACTTCTGAGATAATTCTAGGGCTCAGAGCAAGTGAAAGGGGCACCTTTTTGTACCAGGGACATGGAAAGCTGAAAAAAGAATTAATCACCATCAATAAATGACAATTTCTAGGGAAGAAAAGCCATTGAACTACTAGTAAAGCGAAGTGCTTCAATATCGATATAATTGCATCACTCACTAAAACCAAAACACATGAAACTAATAATTACTACCTCCTTGATCCAATCAATTTTGCTCCATAAAATTCCTGGGGTACTCCTTCATGCGTTGTCACAACCATCACCTGCATCATGTGTCGAGTCATTTCAGTACAATATGAACTCTGCACATCAAAACTTCCACAGAAACTTTGCCAATATCTCTATTTTATACATAATGTTGTGTGCAAAGAGCCAAATGGGAATTACGGCAGAGTTATGGATTAGAGGAACCCCATTTCTAGTGAGTATTATACCCAGATTATATGAGCAATTAATTTAACAGCTGACACCTAGCTCCTACTCCAACTGAGCTTGACTGGTCAAGTTATAGGGCCTGCTCTGAGATGATATGCGGGCTTCTATATATGAAAAGGCAAAGTTGCGCAGAAATACCAAGCATCAGAAAAATGTTAAGAACATACCTCATCTCCCAATTCGCGTAGATATTTGATGAAATTCTGGAACCGGTTTTTATAGCCAGAAACATAACTGCATATACAACAACAAGAAGATGGTCATTTCATAGCTCCATAAGCTAAAAAGCAGGAGATACAGAAGCCCCATCCATTAGCAGTATACTAACAACTTTTATGCATAGATGGACACATACACAGTGTGGAGTCTAACTTTGTGATATGCTTCGTGCACTAACAGAGCAGAATAAAAAATTCAAAAGAATTTTACCAAACTTAAGATGCTCATTGTCATGCCAAGAACTCAATCAGACTCCATGAGAATGTGCATTATTACCCATATCTCTATAATAATTAGCATAAACTGCAATTCACATCTTCAAGCAGTCAAGTCTGTGGAGTGACTTTTAGTCGTTATGAAACAATACTGATCCCTTTTTTCATCTTAAGTTGATTGTAACTATGAGATTTTAATGAATCTAGAAAGCGTTCAACTATCAGGAGCTGAAACTTCTTGATCAGCAAGAAACATTGGAAGAATGTGGGAGATATAGGGAGTTCCAAAATAGTGAAGCAGGCTAGTTCCCCATAGCACATCAAGAACTGTATGTTCAATATGCTCTCAGCACATGTAGAAGGAAAAATAAATTAAAACTTAAGGTGAAGGCAGTATTTGGTAATGAATGCATCGAATGGAATTCACATATGAGTTAGCTTCCAAAAAAATATTCAAGGCAGAACAGCCAAATAACTAGGAAATGCCGAGTAGGATGGCTGTATGTCAAGGACAAATTGTTATGCCTAATTTGCACAATTAATGGAACAATTAGTGTCTAGCACATTGCGGTATGAACCAATTGATATGCATAGAAGTTTTCTCAAGGCAGCTCCCAAAGCAAGTGAAATGCAATGTCAGCACAGAAATGCTAAAATCAATAGTCCTAGATAACAATGAGGTACAAGAAATAACCCAAAATTACAGCAGTTAACCTAAGCCATCAAGTCATCAACTAGTCATGACATTATTGAACGGATCAAGAATCTAGAACGAGTCCATATTAGTAATAGCTGGCAGTAAATGAGTAGCATGCCATATGCCATAAACGACAAAACGGAGTGAGCAGCTCATTTGTGTCTGATTCCTTCTTCATTTTCATCAATCAAGCTTCAGCTCCTAAACAACTATGCATAAGTATACGTACGACCTAGATCACTCCACAGACATGGAACTTAATAAAGCCATAGAAATTTGCCATAGCCTTGTGAAAATTCGAATTAAATACGTCATAACAACCGGCATTTAGACACTCTCTCCTATTGCCAAAGTAAACACCATTCTCCGCAAAAGCATCAAATGAAGCACTAGCAGCTGCATACTTTAATCTCGCAATCAAAGTCAACGTACTATCAAAAAAAAAAATTTAAAGGAATCTTTAGTTGATACTACTAGCACAACTCAAAGTCAACAAAGAACAACACAGCAACATTTCCCTAATGTGAAAGAATTGATGCTCCAAGAATTGCAAGAGACTCACGAAAAGGGAGAGGGCTCAATAAAAAGCGCAATTCGCCTGGGCCTTGAATTCATCTCAGATTCGAGCAAGGGAGGGGGACTCTCCTCCTCTTCCTCCATGTACTCTGTAATGGTCATGTTGCTGTTAGCTGCAAAAAAGGGCTTCCTCTGCCTAGCCCTTTTTAGCCTTGCAGCAGCTGCGCCTTTCTTGTGGGCTTTAGTAGCACACTGCAAAGATTGCGTCTTTATGCAAAGTAGCACAACGGGTTGTGCTCTTGAGGTAGAAAAGCAAGAAACTTTAACAAAATTTTTAGGTGGGTACGTTGATGCTGAGGTAGAAGGTAAAGAGCAAGAAGAAAACAAGTAGGACGACGACAAAGTAGAAGAAGAGGAGGAAGCAGGAGTTGAGAAGCGACGAGGAGAGAGAGGGGAACTTATAGAGAGAGAAGAAGGGGACATGATTTTGATTAGAAGAATAAGAATATAAATAAATATACGGCAAAAAGAGGGGGGACGGGCTGTAATAGCGTAATGTATTGTGCTGGTGATGACTTGGAAGGAAGAAAGAATTTTTGGGGTTGGTGTGTAGGTTTGGTTTTGAGCATGATTAATAGTGCGTGTAGTGTGTGAAGTGTAGTAGAGATGGAGAGAGAATATGGGGGGCCTCCATGGGGACCGGGGGATTCTTTCCGATGGATATTCTCTTTCGGGGTGGGGGGTTCTGGCGGCAATACAGAATAATTGCGAGGTATTCCAGAGCATATGCTACCTTTGCCCATTCACAATTTGAGAGGATCACCATATCCTAAAATTTCATCTGAATTATATAGCATACGTACCTTCCTGTTTGTGGGGTCATTTTGACATCTCATGACTCATCTTGATTAGTAAGAAGCTGCCCTGCCTCCCGGTGTATCATTTGTCGACTGTATTTTTTGAGGGGAAACAAAAAAAAGAGTGCCGTATCAGTATATTGAAGGGTAGTTTGGACCAATTACAAAGGAATTTGTCACCAAATGGCTCGTCACATCATGCGCCAGAAGCGGAAAAGATGAAACATTTTTTTTTTTCTAAACGATAACAAAGGAAAAGATGAAACGTTTTGATTGTACATTTAAGAGTGTGTTTGGATGGCAGAATTATCTCGCGTGATGTTTTCTTTGTATTATAAACATATTTTTATAATTTATTTTTTTATGTTATATATTATATTATAAAAAATATTAGAGTAATTATTTCAAATAATACTCTATCAAAACACAGCGTCATTGTAGATGATTGTGTTGAACCCGATATCTTTTTGGATTGTCTCATGATTGTATAGTTTGTTTTTCAATATCTCAATTTTTTTTCACTTTTTTTTTCATTTTTCAAATTTCTTTCTACCATTTTGAACCTGTAATAACTTGTAAACATTTTTAAAATTAAGCTTAGTCTTTCAGTGCCAATATATTATAATTTAATTAACCTATACTTTATAAGATATTCATGGAGATCCTTTTTAAACTCTGAGCATATTAAGATTTACTCATTTATGATTAATCTTTCCTACACTGACAGTGTATACACTGTAAATGTTTGATGAATGACAACTATACAAATTTTGAATTTAAAATTCATCTTTTACACACATATCACAAATCAAACGGTGATAGTGTATACACTGTCAGTGTATATAAGATTTACTCATTTATTTATTTTAGATTTGACATGTAACGAAAGTCAATATGACACCAAATAAAATATAAAGGGAAGTTACTAATATGGAAAATTGGGGTAATTTGCCATTTTAAAATATACCAGTGCAAGCTTTAAAATTAAAAGTACTTGTCATTACTAAATTCTACCAATTCTTTTAATATTAACGTAAAATAGATTTTGAGTTGAGACAACTTCCTATATTTTATTAGTAGTCCAAAATTAAAAAGAATTAGTAGCGTGATATCAAAAAGAATTAGACAGGAGATTATTTGCCCAAATATATAGTTGCTTACATCACCATTACAAGTTCCAATACATCTTTTTATCTTTTCAATTACCTTTTTATCTCACATACATCACATCACATCACAAAAGGTGCTACAGTCAAAAATATCTCAAATAATTTACAATCCAAACACACTTGATCCCCTAAGGTTTGGTTTAATATCACCTAGCACCCCTTTAGTTTTAAAAATGGTCTCTTACCCTTCCTTGATTGACATGTAGTGTAACAATGTTAGGTCATTTGGGTTAAATTAGCATTAAAAATGCATGATGGATGAGAGATAATAATATTTTAGTTTTAGTAACACACTTATGTTGTCCTTGACGCAAGTATTATACCAATAATGAAAACCAAAATAAGATCAAAGGCATAAGCTGAAACAAGAAAGGGTATAAGCCCAATTTAAAATCAAAATTGCAGCAGTTCAAAAGTTCTATAATTATGGCTGCGACGATTAGTATTCCAATTTTGAACAACATAAAAGCAGCAAGACAATAATAAAAAAACACAAATTCAATAGCAAAAGAGAAAAGTTAAAATAAAATTGGAAGAAGATATTCTTGTAAATAAACATTGCACGTTCTAACCTTGGAGGATGCTTTTATAATTCAACAAAATATCATTCACTATAAAGAATCGTTTATTATGGATGCAACAAGAAGGCGACAATCTAAATTTGGAGAGTGGAATATAGACAAGTTTTATTTTAGCTATTTAAAATGCAATTTTTTTCCAAATGGAGTTATTCATTATTCATTTTTTCCCCCATAAAAAAATTTTTTGGAATGTATTTTTAGTTAATCAATTAGAGCTTTTGACCAGGGTTAATATTATCAATTCACTGCGTCTAATTATAAAACATCTCGTCTCACTCAAAGTGACACGAGAGGTAAGAGAGAGCTTTGAAATCGAAAAGGTGTCAGGTGATATTAAGCAAAACCTTTGAATAGCCTTTCAAAAATTCTCTATTAAGTATGAATAGACCTTTATGTGCCTTTCAAACATCTAAATTGTAGGGACAGCTATTGATTTCTACATAAAAATAGAAACGAAGAAGAATAATAATAATAATAATTCTTTGCATCTGGCTCGTACTAGTGATTTGCAAGTTGCGTAGGTAGATTAAGTCACTAAAGACGGATCAGAACGTGCTACCACCACACCAGGTATTGCACAAAAACCCTCCTCAAAGGAAAGGAAAAAAAAAAAAAAAAAAAAGGTATTGCACAAAACGTTGAGAATTTAGACGTAATTGACACTAGTTCATTTGAGCCCCTCCATTTAAAAAAAAAAAAAAAGAAAGTCAAAGAAATCTGCATTTTGAGAAAAAAATAAACTTGAGATCAATGATCAATGGTGAATTTACGTCAAACGCTGTCCAGTCTGGGCCACTGGTAGTTGTTTTTTACCAATTGCAGACGGTCCACTCCAGATCTTGACAGTCTACTCCAGATCAAGATGCAGGAAAAAAACAGAAGTGGAGCCGGCTTACTGAACTCGTCTAGCACGTGATCATTTAGGCCACTGCCAACCCCAAAATTGTCGCGTTTGATGGCAATAATTCCCCTGTGGGGTTAAGTTCCCACATCGCTTGGGGGGGTTTGGGGGGTTTAGTAGTTAAGTGCTGCGGAGCACTTCAAAAGTTGCCGGCTTTTGAAGTGTCTTCGCAGAGTCCATTTATCGAAACACTCATACAAAAAACTGTGAGTTATGAAAGGGAAAAACCTGTCTCGGGGAGTCTGGGGGGTCTTTATCTCTTAGCAGCGGGGCACCCTGTGGGGTTAAGTTCCCACATCGCTTGGGGGGGTTTGGGGGGTTTAGTAGTTAAGTGCTGCGGAGCACTTCAAAAGTTGCCGGCTTTTGAAGTGTCTTCGCAGAGTCCATTTATCGAAACACTCATACAAAAAACTGTGAGTTATGAAAGGGATGGCAATAATTCGACGCAAGTTAACCGTTACTCGTCCCCACCGAAGTACGCACTTTAGCCTAAAATGGGTAAAAAAGTCAATCAGATAAATAATTACTATAAGGCTTCACTTTTTTAATTTTTATATGTTCATATTTCTAAAGAGATTACATGGAATGCATAAATTATTTGAGATAATTTTGTGAAAAAAATATTGTAACACTTTTTTAATGTGATGTATATAAGATAAAAAAGTAATTTAAAAATGAATTAATGATACAACTAAATCAGCGTATGTAAATAAGGTTAAAATAATGTGAAATCCAAATACGCTCATATAATTTTTTTATAAATACATCCAAGCAAAACCGCTTACATGACAAAATTTTCCACAAGTGGTAAACATCAACTTGCGTGTATAGGTTTTACTATTTTTTTTTTCTGACATTTTCTTACAGAAGTAAGAAGTAAGAATACATCCAAGTATAGGTTTTACTATTTGATTGATCTCAGATTTGCTGTAAAAAGTTGCATATTGACTGTGGATCACAACTTTTTCTTTCTTTTGTCCTTTTTTGGGAAGAGTGGGGGATTTTAGTGTTGACTACCACAACCGAACTCTACCTGGCAATGGTTTGCGCCTCATATCCACTTTACACAGATGAGGGGCAGGAGCGGTCATCATCTAACCGCTTCTGAGCTGTTTACGATCAAGATTTGATCCAAAAAAATTATATGGTTCAAATTATTTCTTATATTTCATTTTTAATAATATGTGTGAAATTCACAAAAATTTGTTCTAAAGGTACACGTTGTACAAATAAAGTTACGTCGCGTACAAATAAAGTTACGCGGTGTGTAAAATGCACAAAATCGCTAAGAACGGTTGCACCATAGCTGTTGGAAACAATTTAGATAGCATAAACTATTTATGCAGTTGCTCTGAAACTTGTTTCGGAGCTTTAAATTTTCTATAATGATTGGAGATTCTGCACAGTCTACTACTTGTGCATAACAAAATTGCGAATTAATTTAGCATATAATTTCCATTTCTAAAGTGTCTAGTGTGTTTGTACCACCCAAAAAAAAAAAAAAAGGGCATCTAATCTAATGAGTAATGTCTACAGCTCTACGTCTTCCATGTAAATATGTACAGTGCACGCAAACTTTACGCGGGTTGCGGAATTGGCAGGTGTAGGTTATTATTATTATTTTTTTAAAAAAAAAAGAGTAATGTGCCAAGTAGTTTTTCTTCTAGCATCGGATCCATCCTCCAACTCATCTGATGGGCATATTGTAATCACATGTATAACAGTCTCCCCTCTAGTTTCCCACCGATAGCCTTGGATTCATCCTCCCTCCGTAGAATAGAGTAGGCGTACGGGTAGAATAAAAATTATCCTATCAACCAAGAAAAAATACATACATAATAGTCTCCTTTATTTTAGTGTTGAAAAAACGTTTCCACGGCTCCACTAACTTGCACTTAGTAAGATATTTTTCCAAAATGTGTGATTTGTTTATTACGGATATAGTATGGATTAATCTTCTATATATTGACTGTGTATATGAATTTTATCATTAGATATATGATACATAATTTAAAATTAAAATTAAAATTAAAATTTTATACATATATTATATATCTAATATATATATTATTAGTGTATATAAGATTTAATTATACAATGTTAGGCGTGGAATCATTAAAAGCATTATTCAAGGTTTGGTGAGCCACATATTCTACCGATGGAATATAGGCTCTGTTTGGCACTTGAGTTTTTTGCTAAGATTGTCTGCTACAAGTTGTTTTAAAAACTTTAACTACAGTAATCTAAAAAAATTTTTATCAAAATTTTTAAACTATACATTTCAAAATATTCAAAAATTACACACTTCAAAAATTTTTTTAAAAACTTCTACTGTAAACAACAGTAAAATTTTAGACAAACATCCAAAAAATTCACTTGTCAAATGAGGCATAGTCTCGTTGCCGATGGGCCGTACTATCATAACAGCTCACAGGGCCCTCTTGTAATTTCGAATAAGCTGTTGTTCAGATCAACGTAACCTACACTCTATTCCAGGCCCAAGGCCCCAAGCACTGAGTTAACTAATAAATGTAGGAGAAGAGTATTTCTTATTCTCATTTTTATGGTAAAGTATTGCAGGAGAGTGAGTCTACTGATATTATTAGGGATGGCAATAGGGACGGGCACCCGCCCCGCGGGGGGTCATTGGGGTGGGGGGTGGGGCGGGGGCGGGGGAGAATTTTTTTTCCCCGTTTAGAAATGGGGCGGGGGGCGGGAGTATACTCCCCCGTCCCGCCACCTGTTTGAAAAACTATACATATATATATATATATATATGTACATAATTATATATATAATGATATTTTTAATTATACTACTAATTATACATGTCTATTAATAAAAATTATTAATTATTTATACTAAATTTATTAATATATTTATGTTAAATTCCTAACTATACTTAATATAATAACACTTTTTTCTAAAAAAAATACAATAATAATTTAGTGATTGTATTTGTATCAAAAGTGAAAACTTGATTATTTTGGTTATATTTGTTTTATCATATTATATTGCATTCAAATAACCTTTGTTTAATTATTTTTATGAGTTTCAATAGTGAAGTTATAATGAATAATAATTTGGTGATGTGTTAATATTTTAGTACTTGATTATTTGCTCAAATTTAATTATAATGAAATTATATAATAAAATTTAATTTTAGTACCCGTGGGGGAAGCCGAGGGCGGGGGATGGGGCTGGGGCGGGGGGAATTAAAATGCAACGGGCCGGGGGCGGGGCAACCCCCGCCCCGCCCCACCCCGGCTCCATTGCCACCCCTAGATATTATCACAGATCAGGAGGATTTGTCTGTATTCCCGTCCACACCCGCTCAACGCCCCACTGGTCCTCCCAAAAGGGAAGAGGAAAAACAAAGAAAAGAGATTGTCTGTAAAATGTTTTCACCTTACAAAACATTTACTGTTAGATTTCGTTCTCCTCTTAGTGATTTGTTCTTTGCACTCAGTCAAGAATTGATGAGCCCTTTCGTGGTTAGTTGACGACTAATTTGAAGATTCAATCTTCTGAATAATGGCCTTCTCTCAGATACCTTCCTATATCTTACGTTAGAGGTGTCAAATAAAATCATTTAACTAATTTTACCCATACCCGCCCATTAATAAATGAATATGGGTACATTAAATTTTTATATATAGATATAAATAGGTTACCCAATTATACCCATTTATTAAATGGATATAATTGGGTAACCCATCTAACCCATTTAACTTACATTCCCAAACCTTTTGTATTTCCCGTTTTCACCGTCATCTTCTTCTCCGCCTCACCAGCAAGCCCACTGCTTCCCACCCCCCTTCTTCCTCCAGTGTTTGTTTTCCCCATCTCATCTCCCCGTCTTTGCTTAATAGAAGGTTTTTTCCCCTTCCATGTCCGATTCCTGAGCTGATCTCTGAATAAACCCGCGGTGTCTTGAAGATTTTCCCGGAGAATGTTAAGAGTCTGATGCCCACTTGGACTGCGTTTTCGCTCTAATAAAAAAGCCTGAGCTGAGTTGATCCAAGGCTCTTTTGGTATTGACATTTTTGGTATGCTGTACCATTCTTTTGTTTCTTATATAGGCCTTATATAACTGTTTGTAATAGCGTATGCAAATTTTTATTTAGTTAAGCTTGATTTTTCAGAGCTATATTACTTTGTTTGGTAACCAGTTAAGGTAATCTTTGCGTTACTAGTTGTTGTGCCTTCTCTCTGAATTGGGCTAAGTTCACCCGGTAATCTGGTATGTGGTTTTGACAGTCAAGAATTTGATGTAGTTAAGCTTAACTTTGGAAGGCTACTAATGGTATAATTAATTTCAGGATTATCTAATTAAGTTCAGTTTTGCAGATTGCTGAATCTAATTAAATATTGCACCGTAGTATGTTACCATTCTTAAGTTTTGGACATCTTGGACTGGTTAAATGATTGTTTCGCTTACCTTTGTTTGCAGATTGCATGAGATCTTATTTAGTAGAAAGCTCTGTAGATTTATGGCTGGACGACATACTTGGTAAAAAAAAAGAAGGCAATAATTGTTAAGTGTGCTTGTCTAGCAAAAACAATCACTGTATTGGTTCTACCACTATCGTGATTGTGATCAATATTTTCATCCTAAGTGCATTTGCCTGCTTGACCAATATCCAAATGTCAAATTTGGGGATTCCCTTCAAGTTGAAATTTACCCTCATGATCCTGCGGCAAATGTCTGGATGGTTATAGAGTCTTCAAATGTATCCCATGTAATTTTCATCTGTGTCTGCAATGCATACGTGATATAATATATAAGTCCTAGCTCTGTTATTTTTGCTCATCATGTTGGCGGGGCCATATGATAAAAAGTTTTTCCACAGCTACACTTAATACTTCCAATTCTATTATAAGCATATTTTTGAAATTGCTTACCGTCAAATTTTTTTTTTCTCTCATCTCAGTTGAAGACTAGTGAAAACATATAGTTCTTGGGATCAATGTTGCAGAAATATCAGATCAGATGTACAAAATTGGAAGGCTGAGAGTCTTAGACAGGAAAATATCAGATGAGATGTACAAAGTTGGTAGTATAGATAACAGAAATGCTATCCCATCATGATCCAACAGATGAGTTGTCAGAGCACATTCAGGAACAATGTTCTTATACAAGCCATGAGCCTACCAATACAGATGAGTTGATCCAAGGTTCTTCTAAGCGTTCGAGACAACTCACGTCATTGATTTGGAAGGAATTTGAAATATTATGTGTTGAACCAGATGGTTCACAAAGAGCACAATGTAAATGGTGCAAGCGTGATTATGCATGCGGTGGAACAACCGGAACAAGCAACTTATGGCGTCATCTTTAAAATTGTACTAAGCGTGGACAATTTGATTTTGAAGAACGGTCTCCAATTGACCAAGGAATTTATCGGGAAAAGATGGGAATTGCTATTGTGAAGCATAACCATCCTTATAGACTGGTGGAGCAAGAAGGAATTCGAGACTTGTGTGTATACTTAAATTCAGATGCTTTACCCATTTCGAGAAACACGATAAAGGCTGATATTGAAAAGATGTACAAAAGAGAAAAAGAGAGAGTAAAGACATAATTAAATTCAATTTAAAGTCGAATTTTCTTTGATAGCACGGGATATTTTAAGTATTTCTATCACTACAGTGGCCTCAGAATCAGCTTTCAGTATTGGTGGTAGAATTGTGGGTAAATATCGTACTTCGCTCCTACCAGAAAATGTGGAGGTCTTGTTATGTGCTAGGGACTGGTTATATGGAGTAACAGGTATGTTATACTTAACCTTTCAGTGCATATGATCTTGTATTTTACTTTTTTGGTCACTTATTGAACTTTACTTTTGATTTCAGCTTCTGAAGATGAAGAAGATAAAGAAAGACTGAGTATTGACTTTGCACCTTTAGTTGCTAAACTTACTAACCTTCATGTTTAGGTAAGTTGTATTCTTATGATCATGGAGATTGTTCGAAATGTGGTGAAAAGAATTTTATCTTTCTGTCTAGATGAAATTTAATTATCAAAAAATAGAACTTTGAATTTGGTTTTGGTTTTGGTTGCCAGGAATCTTCTCTGTTTTGTGTTGAGCCAGCAGCAAACTTTTAGGTTGCTATCTTTGTACTGTCACTGGCACTCCTTCAAGCTGCTTACTATAGGCGTTTGAAATGGTCGGTTTTGAAGTCACGTAAACTAGTCCTCGATGTTGTCAACTAAACTTGGTTTATTCTTCTCCTTGATGTTTATCAGAGGATTCAAATCAGGGAATAATATTTGTTTCTTGCTACAATATGTGTCTCTCTGCTGTGTTAAGTTTGTTCAACCTGCTTGGTTGTAATTTGTGCTAGCAGAGCAACCTGCAGTTATTATGCAAAATTGACACTGGAATTTTTGTAATGTAAGAGTACCTTTTTCTTCATTCACGTTCTTTTTCTTCATTCACTAGTGAGCTAGAGGAGTTTTATCATTTATGCTATGCAGTTGTACGAAGCTTGAAAAGCTGAATGCTTGTTATTCGTATTTATTGAAAAATTGTCTTTATTTGTATGCTAAATGAAGTGATTGCTAGTCTTCATCAGGATTTTTAACTATTTTTTATGTTAAGTATTTTTGTTTTATTTATTATATTTATTTGTTGGTTTTATCTTATCGCTTTATTTCCTTGTAATTTATTAATTTGATCATTTTTTAGCATCATCAATTTATGACAAATTTTAGCTTCCTTTCTTACTTTTTCAAATGAAATTTTAAATTTATAAACGAAAAAATATTAGGGGTTCAAAGTTTTGGATTAAATTTTTTTGTTAACTTTCATATTATTTAGTCCAAATTTTTAGATTCCCATTGTTCAATTATTAAATAATATGTAATTTTGCGACATGGCATGCAGATGGAAAAAAAATTGATAATTAGACTTATTTGGCATAATAAGTAAATATTTAAAATTAATGATGTGTGTAAAATGGTATAAATTGATAATTTAGTTTACAAAATGAATTTATATGAGCTTGTAAAAAATTAGAATAAATGGGTTATAAATGGATAATTGGGTTACCCAACTCATTTTTTGACTTACCCAGTTATATCCATCTAATTAAATGGATATAAATGGGTTGACTCACTTATACCCATTATCCATTTTATCCAACCCAAACCCGTCCAAATCACCCATTTTGCGACCTCTATCTTACGTAACGGTGAGGTTTGTTTACCTTCCGGGGAAATTTTGATGGGTCAAATAACAGGTTAGGGGTAACCCTCTGATCCTTTTTGTCTCCCACTGTATGGGTATGTACAACTGCAACAGCCAGGAACATTTTAGTCTAGTGCATGACCAAAATTAGATAGCTAAGTGAGCGCCCGGTCCCTTTTTGGGATATCTTTCACTTTTAATTGGGGGCTAATAAAAGAGATTCTGGAGATGGAGGATGAATTTTAATTTTTGGTGTGGATTGGAAATTGGAATTAATTACAGGCTCCAGCAACCCTCATCGACAAGCATATTCAAATCCAACCCTTGTTGCCTGGGGACCAGCAAAAGCCCCTTCTCTTTCTCAAGAATGCAGGCAGGCAGGCAGGCCCAGGGGAACAGGGAGGCGGTGGTTGTCGGTGATGCTATCTGGTTCAATTTTCTTTGAGAATCTTATTGTGAATGGCTCCTTGTTAACTTCAAGAATCGTCCATGGAACAATTCCTTACAATCAATTTCCCCGTCAGTTATAACATTCAAGTGCATGATGTCGAGCGAAAGCGAAATCCCGGATACTTATTCGAGTAATCACATTGATAGATAGATAGTTTCAATTTTTTTTTCCGGACACATAGATAGAATTTAGTCTAAACCTACTTCTATTACGAGGGGAAGAGAGCCTAAAGAGATCTTGGAGGAATTGAAGGGAACTAAATAATCAACGATCCAAACAGAAGACTACCACCCATTGCCAAACCTTTTCGGGACTGATGGATAGTTTCAAATTTCAATAGGTCACGAAATTTTTTCCCTCGTCTTGTTGGTATTTCTTTCACCCATTACTAATTCAATACGATATATGTGTGGTATGGTATGCCTTCTTCGACAGTAGTTAGTTTGTGGCCTAGCCCTTCGCCCACCTACTGTATTGGAAGCTACTGCCTTCGCTTCTCTAGGCTTCGCTGGCGTTCGCCAGAAGTGACTAGTCGCTCCTCGAATGCCTTACATGATCTCTAATTTATATAGTATCTTTTTTTTTTTTTTTTTTGTTTTTGGAGGTGTCAGGACTCAGGAGGGAATCCGAATTTCTTTATGAGATGCTTTTAATTGGGACCTTGCAACCTAACGACAGTTAACAGGCCAGGTCGCTGCAGGCTTTTTGGGCTGCATTCGTCCGGTGAACTTGTCAATTAAGGTTGGCCCCTCCTCCTGAGACAGAAAGACAACAAAGCCCAATGTCTCATGTCTTGTAAGTTACTCCAGAAAAAGGGAAGCAGATCAAGCCCAGTTGCTAGCGTTCTTCCCGTTATGGATAGTTAATACTAATAGAAAGAGGGGTACTCTGATTGCGGTTTGCAGCCCGTAAAACTTTGAATGATGCCTTATCGAATTTTTGGCGTTTGATCTTCCACCTCGTCTTTGGGCGAGTCAGAACTCGTACGCATAAATCCATCCGCTAAGCATAGGGTGATGTGAAGCTAAGGCCTAAGGCGTCAGGTAGAAAACTAAAACAGACCAAAAAAAAGGAAAAAAGCTTCAAGTTGAAGCTGCCTATATTAAGCAAAGGCTCCATCTCACTCGTCGGACTAGCCGCCCATAAATCATCTTTTACCTTCATTCTGTTGGGTAACAACAACCCTTTCGGGGTCCAACACTGTAAACCTCCCCACCAAAATAGGGAAATTTTGTGCCCTTTAACATTAGATACCAAAGCCAAAAAAAAATAAAAATGACATTAATAAAACTGGCACTTGTTTTTCTTTCTTTCCTTTTTTTTTTGGGGCCCCGTTAGGATAAAACTTGGACTGCTTCAAGTTGAGAAGATTTACTCCGACTACAGTATCGCTTTTGGAGTTAAAAAAGAATAAAAGAGAGAGAAGAGGAGGGGGCAGGGGGGAAGAAGGATAATTAAATTTTATCCATCCAAGAGAACATCAGAAACCAGATATCTGCTGCTGCTGAGTTTAGTGTTAAAGACGAATAGAAGAAGAAGATGATGATGATGAGGCAAGGGCTTGTGGCATGGAGCCCTTATCCTCGGTCTATGTGTTCTCCCTCATCTTTGCAGACAACTAAAGCCCACCGTTTGCAGCCTACTTTCTTGACTGTCTCAGCAAGATTGCAAGATGGGGTTGCCCAGCACCAAATCACCTGCAAGTACGACATCAACATTGCTCGCCAGCTGCTCACTATCAGTCACAGGGTAGTTATCCCTTTTTTAATCCCAATAAAACTCTTCATTTAGGAGCCATTGATGAGCATTTCTTACCCTGGACCAGTCTTTACTTAGTATTAGCAGCTCAAGCACACAAACACACTGCCAGAATCATTACCGGAACCTCGCCGAGTCCGAATTGCTGATATAGCGTAAAGGAACCAAGAAAGATTTAAGGGATTACAAGTACTAGCACTATATGGTGCAGATACCATCCAAATTTAAGCGACAATATTTTTATTTCTAGAGTTGAGACCCACTCTGTTGTGCGAAAATCTTTAGGTTCCGTACGAAAGATCGGTTCTTGGGAAACATTTCCTTGTACTACTAGATTGCATACCACAGGGCAGAGAGGTCTTGTGATATTTAATACGGTATAATTGGTCGCAGGACTTCCTCTGAATCCACTTTTTTACTACTTGTGTTGGATTATGCGCTTTCACCTTTTTGTATATTCACAATTCTTATGTTCTCTAGGAATTGATAAGTTTCCCCGAGCAAATACTGCAAGCTCACATTCTTTGTTAACGAAAAAAATTCACATTATGACCCACATCTGTAAAAATGCAAAAGGTTTCATCGCCTATTCAGTTTCTTGAGTAAATCTGCCGTCTTTCCTCAGACTTGTGGCGTGAAGCTCTGATCCCAACATTTTAGGTTTGGTTCAATATTGTGGAGAACTCATAATGAAAATGACTCAGTCTTCTTCAAGAGACTGCATATAAACGGTTGCAGCATCAGATTGTGCAATCTCTACCATATAAGGAACTCATTGCCTTTTTTGCCTTTAGGGATGAAATGCAAATCAATGTGCACCTTGCTGAACATGGTATTACCCTGGTGTTCCCTGCTTAGTCTCACCAAGCTGCAATTTTCAATTTGAAATTGTAGATGCGAATCATAAGAAAGAGCCTTCTTTGGCAATGATGATTTTCTAAACGTACTCATTTGTTATCGATTTGGCAGGAAATGATGTCTCTAAGAGTCCCAGTGATGGCCCTTATTGCCACTGATGCCTTGATGTACTTTGCACCTTTGGAAGCTATCGCAGAAACTTGTGAGGCAGACAATTCAATACTCAATATGAATATGCCCTTGCTGCTTTTTGTTGCCCTTATCGGTGCCACAGTTGGAGGTAAGTTGCCCTTGCTGCTTTTTGTTGCAGATTCTAGTTTTATCCTTCACTTGATTACCTGTTAGGTGGAAATTTTTATGGTCTTAGGAATCTCTGCAGTACTTCTCTTAACATCTACACTTCCAAACTGTAAGCATTTTTTAGGCACTCAAACTTGAGGTCTAAAACTGTGGCTATGTTGATTAAAATGGGCTTAGGATTCTAGAATAGCATCCGAAAAGCATGGAAATGGGCTGCTAGGTGAGCGCCAAGGGAGGCTTTGGAGACTGCTAATTTCCTAACCTGCCCAGTCCTCATCACAGTTCCACACATAATTTGTTGATTTGGAAGTTCTTTTAGTTCATTCTGCATAATTTTCCAGGATTACTTGCGCGACAAAGGAGAGGAGAATTACAGCGCCTGAACGAACAGCTCCGGCAGATTAATGCAGCTTTAAGAAGGCAGGCTAAGATTGAATCATATGCGCCCAATTTGAGTTATGCTCCTGTTGGTGGAAGGATACCAGAGAGTGAAGTTATTGTTGACTCAAGGAAGCAGGAGCTGATCGCCTGCCTGAAAAATGGGAAGAATTTTTTGAGAAATCAAGATCC